GCCAGGCTCTTTCCCCCAGTAATAGGGTCTAGTATAGCTCCTTCCCTAGTTGAACAATCAATATATTGTTTTAAGAAACCCTTCTGGATGCAATTATAGAGTCAGAGTCATATAGTACGGAAACAGGCCCTTCTGTCCAACTCGTGCATGCGGGACGGGCTTCTCAAACTAAACTAGTCCCATTTGCCTATGTTTAACAAATATCCCTCTAAACCTTTTCTATTCATGTATCTGTCCAAATGTCTTTTAAATGTGGTAACTGTATCTGCATCTACTACTTCCTCTGACAGTTCATTCCATATATGCACCACCCTCTGTGCGAAAACATTGCCCATCAGGTCCCTTTTAAATCTTTCCCTTCTCATCTTAAGAATATGTCCTCCAGTTTTTAATTGTCCTACCCTAGGAAAAAGACATTTGCTATTAACTTTCTCTATGCCCCTCATGATTTTATAAACTTCTACAAGGTCACAACTCAACCTCCTACACTCCAGGGAAAAAAAGTCCCAGCCTATCCAGCCACTCCTTATTCTGACCCATCTAAGTCCCTGACACTAAGGGAGTCAAAATCACCTACTGCAACATTCTTTTCACATCTTTCCACCATGTGCCTACATATCTGTTCCTCTGTCTCCCACTGGCTATTGCAAGGCATACAGTATAACCCCATCACAGTGACTGCATTCTTTTCCTGAGTTCTATTCATATGGCCTCAGTGGATGATCCCCCCCATCCCCTACCAAGATGTCCTCTTCTCATCACAACTATGACATCAGTAATGCAACATCCCACTCCTTATACAGTCTTCTCTAACAAGCCTAAAACATCTAAACTGAGCTGCCTGTCTGCCCTTCTCTCAATCGAGTTTGTTTAATGGCTACAAAATCATAGTTCCGTGTACTAATCCAGGCTCCAAACTTACCCATTTTACTCCTTATATTACAATAATCGGATTCTCAACCCTTCTGCTAATGGAATTAGTTTACCTAAACAGGTCCATCATGATTTACAGCACTGTTAATCAAAGCTCTCAACCTTCTCTTCTTTAAAGAGAAAGCATCAACTTGTCAAATCTATCCACATAACTGAAGACCCTTTTCACAACAACCATTCTGACATTTTCTGCACTTCGCCCAATACCTTCACTTTCTTCCTAAAACATGGTGCCTGGCAGTGAACACAATACACAAATTGAAGGTGAATTAATAAAGTTCATTATTCCTCTGTTTATATTATAAGGAAGGTATGGAGTACAACAGCAGGCTCCCAAAACTTCCAAACCACTTTCTCAGAGTCCTCCCAACTTCAGCAGTTTGTGCAAAGGTCTCTCTGCTCCTACACCTCCTCTGGAATTGCACTCTCTAAACGTATATTGCCTCTCCTCATTCTTGCTACTGAAAAGCACACATTTCCACATTACATTTCAACAGCAAACCTACCCATTTCACCTGCCTATGGTCCTCCTGAGGTCAATCATTATCAAATATCATGAAGTTTCCAAGTTTTGTGCCATCTTCAAACTTTTAAATTACGACCTTCACACCCAAAATTTAGGCCATTAATGGAAAATTCAAGAAAAGCAATAGCTCTAGTGCCATTCCTACAGATCTCTGTACACTTTCCTCCCATCCTAAAATAACCAACTCCTTATCCATGTTACAACCATCTCTCTTTTATTCAACATTCCTGGAAATCCTATGTGTCAATTTGTCAAATGCTGTCTGGAACTCCATCAACACTTCCCACTACTCTCCAAAATCTCAAATTTAGTTGTGCACAATTTGACCTCAACAAATCTGTTCCCTTAATGAATAATCCAAACGGTCAGACATAAACCAGGTTAAGATAACTGAAACATCCAATAAATTTTTAAACATCATTATGAAATTCCGTATTTGAAAACAGAAGTTCTCATTGGCAATTATGAAAGAATTACCCCATTAAAAACTTAGACACATCTCATTTACCACAACTTTTAAGAGTTTTGTTTACACCAAGCCTAACACTGTAAAAGGGCAAATTCTTATAATTGCAATTATTTTCATTAACTGCTGCATGCAGGAACTTCAACAGTGCAATGTATTGAAAAGTATAGAATCAAATTACAGCAAATTCGAACTAGATTTCTTCCTTTAACTGTGCATGTGGTTTTCAGAACTTACTATCCGTTTTATGACAGTGAACACTGATGAACGTAGACTGGGTGACCATTTTGCAGAACACTTCCGGTCCATGCTTAAGAAGGACCCCCAATCTTCCCATAGCCAGTCGTTTTAACACAGCATCCTACTCGCATGCCCATGTGTCTGTCCTCGGCATGCTGCAATGCTCCATCGAATCGTAGTGCAAACTGAAGGAACAACATCTCATCTTCAGACTGGGCACTTTACAACCTTCTGGACTTAATATTGAGTTCTGCACCTTCAGATTGTGAACCCACTCCCATTTCTTCACGCTTTACATGTGGCATTCTCTATCATCGCGTCCTCTCCCCTCCCCCCTCCACTCCACTGGGGCCATCTGTTCTTTCTAGTTTGGCAGTTGGACACACCACCGTTTTGCCATTCTCACATTCCAATCACTTAATCAGCACGCTTTCTCCCTCAGCACTTCGCTACTCTTCTATTGCATAACTGCTGCTCACTCCACATTTCATATCGACTGTTATGAAGTGTCATCTAGTCTCGAAACATTAGCTTGCTCTCTCTCCACCGATGCTGCCTGACCCGCTGCAATTTCCAGCATTTGTTGTTTTCAGTGCAGCTTCCAGGTTTTGCAGTAAATTTACTCCTACTGATGATTTCTTTGTCAACATAATGGCAAAATCCAAACCATAAAAAAGTGAAATCGTTGGGCAAAATAACCATTTTAACATGTTCCTACACAAGACATTGCAGAGGAATATTATAACGTGAAATCAAGCCAATGTGCATTAAAGTAAGAACTTAGTATTTAAGGAGGCACAGACATGCACTTTTCCATCATGAATATTTTTAAGCAGATCCAATACAAAGCAATATGGCATATTTTATATTAAATCAGCAAAGTTGTAATCATAGGTCCAACTTCAGATTCTTCCCAACTTTTAATTAGAAAAAACTAGATAGAATAGTTCTATGCTGAATGTTAATAGCTGTTCACCACAAAGCTTGACAAATTTTAAAAATGTTTACAGATCATTCCATCAGATATAAACCAATACAATTTGGATATGTACAACTTCCAAGTCCTTATACCACATTTAGTTCTACTTACTTTTGTAACTTTGTTTGCTTACCAATGCAAAGCTTCTATGGAGAGCTTCATCCAGCTCTGTGCTTTCACATTGTCCTTGTAGTGCTTCTTTTGGCTAATCTAAAAACTTCACTTAGGAGTTTTCACATCAACAATTTAAGACTCCTGGGAGAAACTCACTCAGCATCCATGTACATGGAACAACAAACAAAAAAAAGAGATAACAAGGTGTAGAGCTGGATGAACACAGCAGGCCAAGCAGCATCAGAGGAGCAGGAAGGCTGACGTTTCGGGCCTAGACCCTTCTTCAGAAATGGGGGAGGGGAAGAGGGTTCTGAAATAAATAGGGAAAGAGGGGGAGATGAAAAAACACTGTGGCTTCCTTTGAAAATAAGAATTTTCCCTCTGCTTCCGATAGGTGTACAGACAGGATTCCAAAACCAACTTGTCCAAAACTCAATTATCTGCTGCATTCTTTTGCAACAGAACTTTCCAGGTCTAGATCACCTCAGTAGTCACCTGCCTGAACCCTATTAAACACCTCAGATGATAAAGAAGGTGATCTTTGACTCAAAAGGACAAACAAAAACTTTATTACCTCTATTTATAAAGCAAATCAGCTAAGTTTAATTAGATGGTGGTGACAATTCTGTATTATTCGCACCCAGCTGGTTTACAGTTTGTGTGAAAATAATCCAGCTTGAAATGTTTAATGGACAAGACTATACTTTTTTTAAACTAAACATTAAAATAACTACAAAATTACATGCAAAATTAATGCAGGCCAAATGCTCATACTGGAAACCAATTATTATGGAGGCTTTCAAAAGAGTATTTGTAGACTCCTTGGCCAAAGATAGCTTACAAATATTTGAAGTACAGTGAATATTATTGTGACAACATGCCACAGAAAGCAAGTTAAACATCCTACAAGAATCTTGCACTATTAAGTTAAATTCAGGAAAATCAGACCAAGTACATAAAAAAAACCAAAAACCAAGATTAGATAGCATTAGACCCTTGTATATCTGGATCTAATGCACTACAATCACAATTAAGACTTGGAAACAACCTTGTCCTGCACCCATCATCATGTAACCATTAGTTATGAACTAATTGAAAACTTTTTAGTGCCCCTTGAAGAGCTTATTATAAACTGCAACTGATTAAGCATATCGAAAAGGAGGGGGCACGATTACAAAATTTACAGCTATTTAGAAATTTTATGCAAGAATTCAAAAACATAATTCATGACACTATGTTAAAGCTCCTCTAGATTTAAGTTACTTGGGATCCATTGTACAGCCATTATTCTATGATGGCATTTGGAAAAAAAGACTTCAGTTGCCTTACATAGAATCCAAAGATTAGTGGTATTGTACACCATTGACCTTGGATTTGGTAACAAACACCACCAAACACCATACAAAACAAATAAGGGCAAGTTTAAAGACCGACAATCCAGTTTGGAGTCATAGACTTTGAAGTACAGCACAGTTCCTTTCAATTCCTACAACACACTCCTGACATGCTTTCCCCCATTTTGCCCACAATCAATGCCAGTGTTCAGTTTATGCGTGTGGAGGAGAGTCGCAGTGCAGAGCAGAACCTATTCAAAATAAAGAACTGCACAAAGCTCAAAATTTGACATTGAAAAAGGGCTAACCCAACTTTTGTTGTTGCTGTTGTTGGAGTAGTGGGAAATAGAATGATAAAACCCAAGATTGGGGGAGGGGACGGGGTGCAAGAATTGGTCGGAGATGCCATATTGCGTGGCAAAGGAAGACATGCAAGGAGTGTGTGCCCCGTCCCGCCTGAATTGTCTGTCACGCTGTCGAGTCGGCTGGGTCCAAACCACAACCCAACAGCCAAGGAGCTGGGGAGAGAGAGAGAGAGAGAGAGAGAGAGAGACGGAAAGGAGGGGGAGGGGGGATTGGTGGTGGAATGGATGGCAAGCAAAAAAAATAAAGCAAAACTCCCAACCGATCGTCGTCCTCCCCCACCCCCATCCACCGCTCTCTCTCTGCTGTCGGTGAGCTTATTGCGACGGGAAGGAGGAAAAAAAAAACACACACGCACGTACCTTTTATTTTGGCACAAGGGAGTGCGCGGAGGAGCGGCGGGCCGGGTTTTTATTGTCAGCGCTCGTCCTCCATCCATCCAGGCACGGCCGCCATTTTGCTCGCTATTGTGCCCGGAGATGGTGAAGGCGGGAGGGTGGGGGGAGGGGAGGTTAAAAGAAAGGGGGCGGTGGGACGCCGGCCGTCGCTGAGCCCTGCCCGCGGGAACCGGGTTGGTGTGTGACGGGGGAGTGGGAGTTTTGCTGGTATCGGCTGGGTACAGCCCGACGGTCGGCTTCCTGTCAGGAACGCGAGCGGGCGCAGTCCTTTGTCCCCGCCAAGTGCGTGTTTGTTCTTCCACCACCATCACCAACCGTCTCCTCTTTTTCCCCCCCACCCCCCAACGACAACCGCCTTCCTCTTTTCCCTCCCAGTGGAAGCGCCTTCCCCTCACAGCCGCCTCTCTCTCTGTTGTCGCTGTTTTTTTTAAAACATATATATATATATATATAAAAGTGGCAGCTGGGGCTTCAGGAAAGCGTGGAAATGGTGTCGGCTTCCTGACCAGGTGAGAGAGAGCAGGATTCTGACTATTCACTCACTGGAAAAGAAAAATTTTGGATGGTTTGTGTGTGGTGGTTGGGGGGGGGGCAGGGAGTGGAAAGAGGTCAAAACAAAAACCACTGCTCATTTTTCTCGCAGCACCCGGTTTCCTGTGTGAAGAAAAACAAAATGGGAATGAACTCCCATCAGATCAACAAGGCAGGTGTCAACTCGAAGGAAACTCGACGCTGCAAGAAAAGTAATAATCAATGGCCAATTGGGCCAGCTCCCCATGGGACACTGGGAAACCAGGCCTTCAGGAGAAAGGGACCAAATAACAGTTTGTCTTTTGGGGAGTGAATAAAGTAAACATCTGTCGCGCCTTTTTAAAACAAATCAATCTTTCATCACCACACATGGGAAGATCGTTGAAACGTACGGTTATTTTAATAGTTGCATGGATGTTTTGCAAAGAAGCCGTTGCAAAGGATGTCTTAATTAATATTCCGGAAGATGTTTACCGGAATACGGCTGACTCCATGACTCTTGGCTCTCTGGCTGCTGGTGCTGGACAGCACGTTGTCGGAAATTGTTGACAAACGATTTTAACTGCTTATTTACAATTCAGGCATGATTCCTCGCAAAATTCCAGAACTCGATCTTTCACCACTCCATTCCCAGCATATCATTTTTATTGATCTGTTTGCCATTTATCATTATAGTCCTTTGCAAATAAAATGGTTGTTTTCAGCCATTGTTTTGGTTGCATTTCTTCACATAGTATACGTCCTACTCAACAATACCACTGTTTACATGATTTTTCTTTCAGCCAAGAGATAAATTGCTTCCATGTTTAGCTGCATAATGCAAGCAAAATAATACAACAGATGACTCCACAGGCATGGACCAAGCTTCAGCTGTGTAAGACAGCACCACCATTTTAAATGGAAATTCACATAAACAAATTACAGTAATACAAACACAATTCCAAAAGCAGCTAAAAAGTTTAATGGAAAAGAAGATTCTGAACAATTGTGGTAGTAATGGGAAAAAAGTGTTATCTGTAATATGAGGATTTCAAGCACTCATATTCAATCATTGAAATAACTACAGGGAAAGAATACAGACGGATTTTGGTATGTCGAAAATATTAAATGAGTACCTCGTATCAATTTTCACTTTTGAGGATGATGCTTAACCAGTAGAATTCAATGATGTCACTAATTAACATTGTTAATATTAAAAAAAATATTATTTTAGAATTAAGAACCTTGACATAAAACAGTCGATCATTGAAAGGGCCAGTGGATCTCAAGGAAACAGGACAAGGTTCTCCTAACACCCTTCTTGCAACACTCCCCAAGCTAAACCAACCGTGCCCCCTTCCCCCATAGACTGGAAGAAGGCTAATATTCCTTTTTTAATGAGAGAGCTAAGACAGAATAGGATACCTTTAGGCCTAGTAGTTTGTTGTCAGTAATAAAGAGGGATGATCAGGTATGTACTATTTAGCTACTTAAAGTAAGATATATCAGGAAGACCCAACATGGCCGGAAAAATTAGGCCCTGTCTCACTAATTGCATTTCACTTTTTGAAGCATTTATCAAAATAGTGAATGACGCAAACATTTCCTCAGTTTTCAAAATGTGAGAAAGGAGTTGATGGTATTGTCACTGAGATTGGTAATCCAGAAACCCAGGTATTGTACTAGGGACCTGGATTCAAATTCCACCATGGCAAATATCTGAGTGATGACCAAGAAACCATTGTCATCAAAACTTATCCAGTTCACTAACATCATTCAGAAAGAGAAAACCTGGTGTGGCCTACAGATCCACAGAAATGTGGTTTCCTGTTAAGTACCACTAGCAATGGACTCTGTTGCCTCTAACTTTAAAAAAAGAGAATAAAACCAGACAGACCATCCAGCATCAACCAAGACACCCAGAAATGATAATGGCCTGTTGATCCTGCAAAGTCCTTCTCACCAACATGTAAGGGCTAGTGCCAAGATTGGGAGAGCTATCAGCCTGACATGTTCATACTCAAAGAATCATACCTTACATGTAACATTCTAGACCACACCATCATTATCCCTGTCCCATCACCAGGACAGATGCAGCAGATGTTGAGACACAGTGGTATACAGTCAGGAGGTAGTTGCTGCAGGAGTCTTCAACATTGATAGCAGACCTTGTGAATCTCATGAGTCAGGTCAAACATGGGCAAGGAAAGCTCCTGCTGATTACCACAAACCAATCCCCACCTCAGACGATGATGCAATGTACCATGCTGAACACCACTTGAAAAAAAACTAAAGGTGGCAAGGGCACAGAATGTCCTCTGATTAGGCAATTTCGGAGTCCATCACCAATGGAACTATAATTACTGACTGAGTTGGTCAAGTCCTAAAGAACATAGCTGCTATACCAGATCTGTGGCAAGTGGTGATGGAACGAACAAGAGTGAAAAACATACTTGACCTCATTTCCATTGATCTGCCTGAGGTAGATGCATCTGTCCGTGACAACATTAATAAGACTGACCACAGCACAAGCCTTATGGAGACAAAGTCTTGCCTTTGTATTGATCACTGACGCCATGCTGAATGGAATAGACTTTGAACATATCTCCCAAATCAAAACTAAACATCCATGAGGCACTGCGGACTGACAGCAGCAGCAGAATTGTACACAAACACAAATGGTAACCTCATGGCCCGGGCATATCCCTGCAACACTATCATCAAGTCTGGTCCAATGAAGAATGCTGGAGCAGAACCAGGCCTACTTGCACATCAGGTGTTAACCTGGTGAAGCTACGAAACAAGACCACTACAAGATAAAACAGTGTAAGCAGCAAGTGATAGACAGAGCTAAGTGATTCCAAAAACAACAGATTAGATCTAAGCTCTTCAGTCCTGCCACATCCGGTCATGCCTGGAAGTGAACAATTTAAAAAGTCATTGGCAGGATGAGGATCTACAAATATCCCCATTCTCAACAATGATAACACATTAGTGCAAAAGGTAGGACTAAAGCATTTGCAACAATCTTCAGCCAGGAGTGCCAAGTAGATCATCCGTCTGGCCTCCTCCCAAGATCACTAGCGACGGTACTGAAGAAGTACACTCCAGATTTACCACTCCCTTCAAGCCGTTCCAATACAGCTATAACACAAACATCTATCCGACAATGTGGGAAATTATACACAAAAAGCAGGACAATTCCAACCTGGCCAATTACCACCCTATTAGTTTAATCTCAATCATCAGTGAATTTATGACAAGTGTCATCAACAGTGCTACTGAGCAATGCTTGCTTAGTGATAACCTGCTCACCCTGGTTTCTGCCAGGGTATCTCAATTCCTCACCATGTTATATCTTTGGTTCAATGCTGAGCTCCCAAGGGGATGTGGAAGTGACTGCGCTTGACATCAAGACTGTATTTGACTGAATGTGGCTTTAAGGAACCCTAGCAGGCTTGGAGTCAATGGGAATTAAGGGAGAACTCTCCTCTGGTTGGAGTTACACCTGACACAAACCTGGTTATGGTTGGTGGAGGTCAGACACCTCAGCTCCATGATGGTTGTACAGGAGTTCCTCAGGATAGTGTCCTAGGTCTAACCATCTTCAGCTGCTTCAGTAATATCCTATCATAAGGTCAGAAGTAGGGATGTTCAGTGATGATTGCACAATGTTCTGAATAAATTGCAAATCTTCAGATACTGAAGCAATCTGTGTCCAAACGTAACAAGTTCGGGACAAAATTCAGGTTTGGCCTGACAAGTGAAAAGTAAGATTTGTGCCACCACAAGTGCCAGGCAATGAATATCTCCAATAAGAGAATCTGACCATTGCCCTTGGCATTCAATGATTTCACAATCATACAATTCCTGACTATCAGCATCTGGGGGTTATAATTGACTAGGAACTAGGGGGTGGCTCAGTGGTTAGCACTGCTGCTTCACAGCGCCAGGGACTTGGGTTCAATTCCACCCTCAGGCGACAGTCTGTGTGGAGTTTGCACATTCTCCCCGTGTTTGTGTGGGTTTTGTCCGGGTACTCTGGTTTCCTCCCGCAGTCCAAAGATGTGCAGGCTAGGTGGATTGGCCATGCTAAATTGCCTGTAGTGTTCAGGGATGTGTAGCTTAGGTGGGTTATAGGGGGATAGGTCTGGGTGGGATGCTCCAAGCGTCGGTGTGGATTCGTTGGGCCAAAGGACCTGTTTCCACACTGTAGGGATTCTATGATTCTATGAATACAAATCATTATGAACACTGTGGCTACAAGATCAGGTCACAGCCATGAATCTTGCTGCATTTAACTCACCTTGTGACTCCCCAAAGCCTGACCACCATTTACAAGGCACAAGTTGAGAGCATGATGGAATACTCCCCACTTGGCTGGATGAATGCAGCACCAACAACACTCAAGAAGCTTGATGCCATCCAGCACAAAGCAGCTTATTTGATTGGCACCATATCCATAAACATTCCAGTCCCTCCACCCACAATACTCAGCTGGACAGAAAGCTCTATTTGAATGTGTATTGAATTTCCCATCCCTCATCTAACTGGTATTGTGGGACAATGGGAACTACTGATCTTGAATTTTGTACAATGTGTGAACTGCCTTCCAAGGGTTCTGTTGTCTCCTTGCTTATCAAACTGTTTAATGCCATTGTCTCCCTAGCTGGTATGGAGTTGACAGGAAAAGTTGGTCAATGTCTGCATTTAATAGGGTTGGCTTCTGTTTAGTAATTGAAAGTAAAGTAGGGGATCAGTTGGCTGGATTGCTGATTTGCGACGCAGAGTGATGCCAACAACATGGGTTCAATTCCTGCACAAGCTGAGGTTACCCTAACTCTTCTTCTCAACCTGTCCTCCACTTGAGGTGTGTTAACTCTCTGGTTAAACCACCACCAGTCGTCTGTCTTTAATGAGAGAGCAACCCTATTGTTTAGTAAGACTACAGTGATTTTACCTTCAATAATTGAAAAGGTTTTGTCCCTGGGACCAACAGTCTGTGTATTGAACAGGGTCATTTTCCCCAAAGCTGGAATAATCCCTGGCAAAAAAAAACTTTTGGATTAAAAATGATAACCCTTCACAAGGCAACAGTGGTTATGTTACCAAACCAGTAATCTGAAGGCTTGGACTGATGACTTTGAGATGAGTTCAAATCTCACCATGGCAGCTAGATTTTAAATTCAGTTAAATAATTACATTTGAAATAAAAAGCTAGCAACATTAATCATGACCATGTTTCACAAATGCCCTATGGAGAAGAAAATCTGTCTTTATCTGGTCTCACCCATATGTGACTTCAGACCCATAATAATGTGGTTGACTCTTAATCATTCTCTAAATTTGCCTTGCAAACTATGTCATATCTCTAAAACGATTAGGGATGAGCAATAAAAACTTAAATAATTATTTTCAGTGATGCTGACATTTGTGAATTATTTATTAAAATTATGTGATAAAATAAAGCCTCTGTCCTTGTAAAGTCCTTACTTAGGCCTTAGCTAGAATGCTATGCCCAGTCTTGGTCTCCTTATATAGTGCCGGTTCATGAGTCTTTCCAATGGGTATCCTGTTGTCTTGTGTAAGGTCATGTAATATTTAACAAGGCCTTTTGTGGCTAGGATCTTGACCATACAGCTCTCTCCAGGCGGAGATAAATTAAAAACTGCCAATAGGATACCAATTCTCAGGGAGCAGAAAGATTGGTGATAGAAATAAACT